ACTTGTTACTAGTAGCTTTTTCTTACTAGTAGCTTCTTGTTACTACTGGTAAGGCACTTGTTACAAGAAGCGATGCACTTGTTACAGGTAGCTTCTTGTTTAGTAAAGAATTCTTGTAGCTTCTTGTTACTAGTAAGAATGCTCCGGACTCGTAGCGATGCCAGGAGCCCCGAAGGTAGCGATCTTGCTCCTAGTAGTAAGGCCAGGAGCCCCTAGTCGCGTTCTTGCTCCTAGTAGCGATGCCCTTAGGGACTTGATGAAGATTCATGCGAAAGCTGTGTAGGCTCAAACCCTACGGGAAGGTCTGCTCACCCCTACGGGTGGAACAATCCTGTGTCTTCGCTGTGTAGCTGAAATTGGTAGGGAAGGTCTCCCGACTCGCGTGGTGGCTTCATTTTCGTTTCGGTTTGAAAAACATCCCAAAAACTGGACAGCATTTGGAGACCAGACCGGAGCTTTTTTCTGGACCGCAGGCACTGAAGTGAAGCGAAGAAATCGGTGGACGGCGCACCGATTTCTTAGATCAAACCAAAGGTCCCTCAATCATGAAGACATTTGCAAGTGAATTGGAGGTTGTCTGAAGTCCAACTTATACAGATACAGACTATTTAAGAGTAAATAAGTCCAACTGGTGCAAGAAATGCTTTAGATATGACCGAAGCACCAACGTGAAACCCTTGGAAACCATCATGAAACATAAAACTCCCTCCGCCTCCGTCCGACTCCGTCCGACAGCTTCTCCGTCCGACAAATGACAGGGTTGGAGATGATGATGAGATGAAGTCAAGCTACAGCTTCTAAAGAGATCTGAAGATTCTTCAAACCATGGCCTGACTTTTCATCGATTTTTTCTAGCGCAATCAGTTGACCGGCCCAGGAATCAGGTCAATCAACACATGCTCTCCCCGTCGGACCCCGAACCAGGCGCGGCCGCTTCGCGCTTTTGGTTCCAAAGATGCATTCCCCCTGCTTCAGCCAGCCCAAGTTCTAGCATATTGAGCCATCATCAAGACCCCTCACCCCAAAAAACAGGGGTACCGGCATGCTCAAGCGCACCAAATCTGTCAAAGGAGAGTCTGCATCCAGGTTATGATCGGTGTAAATGTTGATGCAGCCGGAAATGCCGGAAAGCAACCTGAGTTTTGGCAACAAAAGGCTGCTGCAGCAAACCAAGGGATTCAAACCTTCAATTTCCCGATTCTGTATGATTAAGTTTGTCCAAGGAGATCTGTCGTGAGGAAAGTGGTGTGCCTCCAACACACATTCGATCTCACGTCCTTCAAAAAGAACGCCTGCTGTGGGCTCTGCCACACAATTTTTGCCAAGGTCTGCATCTTCATCGGCAGAAAAAAGGTGTACTGCATCAGAGGTCTCAAATGAACACATCTGAAAGGTCACCCGGCCATCTACCGTGTCAGCTGCAAGGTGCTTAGCAGCTTTGAAAAAAGCCAAGGCTTCCTCCGCGTTTTGAAGCACTTTTTCACAGCAAAGAGTCACGTCGGGGATCTGATTCAGGTCTTTCAAACTCAAAAATCTCCAGAGTCCAACTGATTCCCAAGGACCTGATGCATGTCGCCAGGGACCCTCATTGCACATGGCGCGGGAGTCTTCCACTGCACCCTTCCAAGTCCAAGAAGCGGCGGTAAGAGAAAGCACCGAGGCGTCGGATGATAGATCCAGTATCTTCACCAAGAGTTCTGGACTCACATCATTTGGCCATGGCATGTTTTTTGGGAACACACTTCAAATTCAATAATGCAGTTGTCAGTTCTTTGCAGACATGTTGCATACAAAATTGGACAGCTGCGTTTTTGAGGTCATCCATAAAACTCGAGTAATAGTGCTTCAGGAAGCTTCAGATTCAACTATATAGGCTACAAATGGCTGGTCAGTCTTTTTGCCACAGTCAGCCAACCGTTTCGATTCACTTTTAAGCATGCCCAAGTGTGTGATGCAAGGCTACCAGTATGATGAGATATTGCATGGTGTGACATGACTTTGCTTGCCTGCATCCAAAGGTTCTTTGATTCTTTGCTTCGATTTGATCCCTGAAATCACACACCTTTCGAGCAGAACAAGGACAGCAGCCATGGCTGGGGCACCAGTGACCTTGGACTGTGAGGATGAAGAAGTTTTTTTGCTCAAAACACGAGGACGGTTGGATGCAAACACGAAGACATTCCATGAATCTCAGGACCTACTTTGAGACAGTTCTACAGGACGAAAGACCATGTGGAAACATCGACGTCTTGGCAGTTGATCCAGTTTATCTGACACATCAAATCCGACAGCAAAAAGCCCCCCCAGTTAACAAGTCTTTGAGAATTACTGAGTGTGCACAGCTAGTTGTAGCTGTCCTGCTGTGAAGGCAAACTAGTCAGTGGGATTTGAACCTAGCTCGCACATAAGCGTGGCACATGTACCTCCACACTCGGTGAGCTGAGGGTGTACACGAGTGGCCCTCCAAATGTCTCCGTAATTCTCCGTATATGTCCACCAGCCATCAGCACCCTGAAATCCCTGAACCCTAAAAAACGAAGACCAAATAGCAAACTATAACATTAGTCCAACCTAATAGCAATGGCCTCCAACCTACTAGCGACGGCCTCCAACCTAATCGCGATAGGTGAAGCAGCACCAACCGATTGACGTTGAAACACCTGCCACACAGCGTAGAAACACCTGCCCGAGAAAACACACGTTCTGCACGGTTCACTCTGTGACACCGGGCTCATAGTTCTCGTTGAGATAGTCCAGCAACTCTTCCTCCTCCTGTACAGCCACGTGATGGAAAAGGACACGGGATGCAAAAGGCATCTGAAGATGGAATATGACGAGTCCACCCTCAATACTTCGTGGGATATGCAGCGTGTCGAAAGAGATCGAAACCATGTGTATCCGTACCGATTATACTTATATCTTTTGTACATTCTACTTAAGGAGTAGAAGATACACCTGAAACATCAATCCTGGCACACCTCGTCGATCCATTCAACCGGTCAGCGGAAAACAAAACAACGAATCTCCTCGGAGTCCAATTCTCGGGTGGCACCCTCCTTGGCAAATCCAGGAACGAGGGCAAAAAACCGTGGCAAAATGCTCAAAGTATCTACCCCCGCCAAGACGAGTAAACATCCCAAAAAACGTGTACTAACAAACATATACATTCATGAACCACCACATTCTGGGAATTGAGCCAGGGACCTTGAACAAACGTGAGTCTTCTTGGACTGTTGCGGTTGGCGTGGGTTGCGATACCTTTCTCCGCCTCTTCTATAAGCCGTCCGCGGGGCCGGGTCACATTTCTGCGACAAAGGCCCCTCCCAACAACACCAAGAACACATGCAAATGGTGTGTGACAAAGGCCCGCACCCCGAATCGGATGGAAAGGAGGTGTACCAACTTTTTCGAAAGACATACACAAATCATCTTTAAACATAATGTATATACATGAATTGATTTCATTGGATTGAAACATCACATCAAGTCGAACACGTGATTTGAACTAAGGCAGCGCATGTTGCCATCTTGTGGACCGAAAACCCATGTGCATAGAACAAATCCGCCAACTCAAACATAGAGGGTAGGAAACCATCCTCCTTTTTTGTAGATGCATGCGCTCACACACACAGAGACAAAACAAGGGTCACTGTTTCAGAAACTTGCTGAGCCCCAAACGTAACGCTGGAAATTGCCCCAGTGGTTCTCATCGAAGAAGCACAGCAGCCGACCATGCTGAAACATGGGTGTGCGCTGATGGTGCACATTGCTTCAACCATAGATCCTTGCACTTGCTGCAGTTCTTATAGAGCCTATACTGCATCACTGTACCTCCTCATTGGTCACTTGGCTGCAATCAGTCGCCTTGCCTGCTCCAAAGTGTCCCGCTCACAGTAGCAGGAAGCTCGCAAGACTTCCACGTCAAAGCCTGCCAGAACTCAGAGACTGGCTTACTTATGAAGCAGCCAATGCGTTGAGTTTTGCCAGTCTCAGGTCAATCTTCCCCACCTGCTTCCCGCATCGCAGCCAAAGCTGAAGGGCCAGCGACCAATGGGTCCACACGCCGGTCGCCGCGATGCGCAAGGGTGATGACCACAACCTGGCTTACCCGTCAGCTCACCGGCTCCCTGCACACCTCCACGCGTGAGCTGAAACTGAAAACGTGATAAGACGTAAAGGCGTGCACAAGGTTTATAGGTGCTGGGAAGGCCAAGCCCAAACCCCATTGGTTTGACATAGAAGAGTCAAATGGTTCCTGCGTTCAGGCGAGTGAGCAACCAATGCAAAATCCAAGCACCGTTCTGTAAACGAATGGCAGCACCTGCACGGGTGCTTTGACGCAGCCGCCTTTTGGTTTTGTCATGTGTTGCTTTTATGGTGTTCGCATGACCAACAAAAGGGGACGGCTGTGATATCTCATGTTTCTTGCTACGCATGTTTTCCTTAATGTAGAGTTTTGTGATGGTTCTGGTTGTGATTTCAATTTGACTTCAACTGGGGTGTGAGGTCTAGGGTTTTTCTAGCAGCCTAAGAAACAGCTAGTTTGTTGCGCACAGCTGCGCCCAAGGCCATGTTTACAACATGTGGCACCCCAAGACCCCCCGCCACTCAACAGGAGGTGGACTGATGGCACGAATCTTGAGCCGCAAAACATAGACTTACTAGACTATGTATGACTCACTGAACCCCGTCAGAACCAAGCCTGCAGGTAGGAAGTTTCCTCAAAAAATATCAGAAAGAGATCATGTCCGCGGCCATCGCAGTCAGAAACGACTTGCAACAGTACTGTAGCGTAACCCGCCCGCCTCCATGTCACACAGAACAAAACCCATACCCAAACCAAAGGTCCAGTTCAAGAGGTAGCGAGCCATAACACCAGAAAGAACATAGAACGCTTGTTTGCGGATCCCTTTCTTGCCTGTCACACCTTAGCTTTAGATCTTGCCAATGCCCATTGTGACTTGCTTCGCCACCTTGCCACAGTGAGACCGCGCCGTGCGTGTGTGCAGCGTGGAGTTGCGTGCGACAGGAGGAAGCTACACAAGTCGGCCTGCCCCACCTGTTCCGCATCCGGCAGCGCTCAAGGGGGTGGGGAAAGGCACCCGTTGGGGATTCGCACGGCCGCAGCTTCCAGAAGGCTGGAGGTTCTAGATGCTCTGAGTATCATCCATTACTCACGTGATGAGGCAACCAGCACAACAAACCCGTCTGTGAGGGAACCTACGTGAGACAGCCAGATCACAATGCAGCCGAGGCGGTGGCTGTAGCCAAGTAGCAACTTGTCTGGCAATTCAGAACTTGCTCTGTTGCTAAATCGGTCACAAGAAGTCAAACAATCAACTGAAGATGCCTAGACCGATGGAAGTGGCATGGTGTAGCGATCCTCTTGGGCCAGTAGCGTAGCGATCCTCTTCTCATGTAGATCGGCTAAGCCGTTGCTTTTCTGGAAGACCGCCATCGACGTGTTCCTTTTGGGATACTTGGCATGATGTGTTCCTCCTCCGCGGGGTAAGTCTGAAGAATTGGCCACAAGCCATAGGGTGCCATCCAACCCCGCCGGTGAAAGGAACAACACACTCTAAAAGCTCCAGGTCTGTGGCTTACTTTTTGAGACATCATGTAAACTTGGTGAAGACCCCGCAGCAGGATGGTCAAACACATGTATTCGCTGGTCAACCTTAGGCTATCGATGGCTCTAGTCATCAACAGGAGGTTCTTGCGGGTAATGATATGTCCTCGTGCGAGTTTCGACAGCGCGAGTTTCGACCCTCGACCCTCCAGATGGGCCGGAAGAAGTTCCGTGAAGAAAGGGCAACCACTCCAGGGCTCCAGGGTAGAAGCGAGCTACTCTACCCTGGGTATCCCCTGGCTAGTTTTTGGATGCAAAGCCACACCCTCGTAAATACTCATGTATCCCATGGAAGTCTGAACAAAGCATGGCATCCAATCATGCTGCTCCATCTCTGACCCTCTGGACCCGCGAAGCGCAGCGGACCCCCTTAAACCATCTTTTTCACACACTGGCACCTCCTATTTCTGGAGAACCGACATGATTGGTGTGTTCATGTTCGATTTGGTATATTGTTTCAGGGGTATTTCACAACTATATAAACTGTTGGATTTCAATGAGAAAACCTCCCACTTTTGATGGACAAACCTTGCTTGCTACTCCCCTCCTTCCCCCGACATGAACACACCGACCTCCCAGCCTTAATGCCCCCGTGCGGCCTGGCCGGTTTTGACGGTTTGACCACTGGGTGAAGCACCGGAAAAGCCACGCGTCCCCGCCACCCAGGCGCCCCGTTTGAGTCGCGATGCCAGGAGCCCCGTTCGTGAAAACCGGACGGCTCCAGAGTTGGGAGGCGCTCTGGGCCCTTCCGACCGGCGGTCAGTGGCGGAAAACATGGTCAGACCCTCCATGTGTTTCGCCGTTCCGGCACGTCACCGAAGAGAATTGGCGGCATGGCTCGATTCCGCCGATCTTCGAAGGGGACCGGCAATTGCGGGATGACACGGAGGTCGGTCTCAGTGGAGGTCATCTCCCCCCACCCGCCGCAAAAAGGAAGACCATCCAAATACCTTATAAACCCTCCAATGTACCTTTCACAATTCCTTTTCACGACCAAGCCAGTGACGTCGTTGGTCACCGAGGAAAGAATGAAACCAACGATGCTATGAGACCATTTTCCATCTCAAGTCCGCTGTGAGGTTGGAGGCCATCGCTCTTAGGTTGGAGACCATCCCTAATACGGAAGAAAGGTCTAATATGGTTTGCTCTTGGTTTGAAACCAAGCCCGGCCATGTTCAATCTCAAGTCCGTGGGCGGGATCCGAGATTTGATTGATTTCACTCCCAAAACGATCCATGGCGCATAGAAATGGCGCAAGCATGACTGCTGGTGGTTGGTCTTTTTGTATAGTATATGATCTAATATGGCTGTTTGGCTGTTCGTGGGGTCATATTTGTCACCATGGATCCTCTAAGACTGGAGAGTTCCACTGACTCCCATCCACCCCGCCTTCCGGCCACCGGAGGATGGCTACGTCCGGATCCCGGCGGAACGAGCGGTCCGTCGCCGCCTCCGGAAGCGGTGCTGTGGACAACGACACCACTCCCGAACAGGCGATGGATGGGTGGTGGGAACCTGTCCCTGGTTCTTCTGTTGTCGTTTCGCGTACCAAGAGAGGTTGAGAGACCATAGTATGAGACCCTGTAGCGTTACACATCGAAGGCGCCTCTTGGGCTGTGAAAGCCGTGTTCGAGGCCAGCCGAGTTCGGAGACACCGCTTGTGCGAGAGCTGGAGAAGCGTCCAACCGTCGCGACCACCGCTGGTGACGCCGTGATCCCCCGGAAGAACACACCAAACTCGAAGCTTGATGCACCAAACTCCCATGGCAAATAGCAATGAGATCTGCTTGTTATGAGGGGCCCAAGAGTTCGTGAAGAGCGGGCGAAGCTTGCGGAGTAAGGGGGGCACCTTGAGAGATGTTGAGAGTAACCGCCGAGGGAGGCGTAGATGCAACATCGATCAACCCCAGACTTGGCTCCCTGAAATTGCCAGGAAATGCAAATCTCGTGCCAGAGAGGTTCAGCTCTTTTCCCGGAGGCCCCAATCATCCCAGCAAAGCTTCTATGGAACTCAGGAGAAAACGCCTCGTCAAGACTCAGGTTCCCAGAACATTTATGGGTGGCGCACGTATGACCTTTCACCACCCAAAAAAATCCATCAGTCATGCAAGCCATTTTTTTTGCGCCATGGATTTTGTGAAGTTTGGGGGGATTCAAAAAGACCCTGGCGATCCATCGCCTTTGAGAAGCGGAGCGGCCGGCACTGAAGGCAGCCGAAACTGCTCCTGGCAGCGCCGCAAGGGAGGGAGTCAAAGGCTGTGCCCATGGACTTGCTTCGCTTCAAGACTGGAAAAGATGAATTACACCCTTCTCAAGACTCCAACGGCAAACCATTCCCCAAAGGGTGGAGAAGAGCGCTCGACTTCACAGGTGGCCAATTGAGACCTCCAACGGGGCCGACCACAACCCTCTTTAGGACCTTTCAGGAGACCTGTCGGCTGGAGGGTGCTGGTAGATAACCGTGACAATATATAGGGGTTTGCCCTCCCAAATGAACGGCTTTTGGGAATTGGTTCGCCAAAATCTGAAGAGGCCGTATTGCATTGTCCAAAAATCACATCGAAATGCCAGAGGTGAAGCCCGGGAGCGAAAAGCTGAGCTGTGCCCAGTCAGCTTCTTGGATTTGCTCGTTCGGAAGCAGGGGAAAAACCACCACCAACATCTTCCAACAGAGGTATCCAGTGACCCTAAATAGGACCCATAACTTAGTAGGGTACCTATGGCTGGGATTAGTCCAACCACGGGTCCTTCAAGCTCTGTTGCTTCCGTTTTGGCGATCGATTCATCGGGAACCTCAACATCTATCACCCGACCCACCGCAACCGGCAGTGGAACAGATCGCCGGTTTCGGTCCAAACCTGATAAGGCGCAGATATTTCGCACCAAAAGGTGGTTTTTCCATCCATTTTGGAATCCGAAAACATTTAAAACAACGAATGCTGCTCCAACACTTGCCATCTGCTCGGTTTTGACTCCCTCGGTTTGCTATGGTTTGCTCAGCTCCTCTGTTTTGGGCGTTCAACCGAACTTTCCACCTGCGGTACTACCATGGCGTGCCCGAAAACGAACATGGGGCGCCCGCACCGCCAGATTTTCGGGTCGGAGCAGGGAAAGAACTGTCCATCTGTTCATCTTTAGTTTGGCGACGGTCTGATGTCCTTTTCGGAGTAACAGAGGAGTCGATTCTTTTCGTACGTACCGCGTACTACCTATTTTGGTGGTTCCTTTTGGGGGGTCAAAGGCCATCTACGGTTGACACCCAAAGCACGTCCTGGGTCAGGACCTCTTGTGAGGCCAAAACCCTGAAAAATAACGCGCCCCTCAAAGCCCGCTCCAGAGCCAAGCGGAAGAGGCTTTGAGCCATCTCAGCGGAGGGCTTCGCCTGGCCGCCATGGGCGAACCGCGCGGAAGGATTGGCAGGGTGGCGGGTTGCAGTTGGAGGCAGAAGTCACACGAAACTCCCTCATGTGGTCCCGCTGTTGACGCATGTTTGCACGATGTTTGCACTTCGCTTTGCTCTCAAGGCTGGGGTTGATGCAGGAAGGCTTGGTGGACGCTTGAAATTGGGGTGAACGATCTATGCACCTCTGGGGTTGAGCTGGGGCTAAGCAGTTCATGTGCAAACAGCCGCGCGGCAAAGGTAAACACCCTACAACTCATGGGCTTTTACGATCTGTTCCCCAGACCGATCAATCAAACAACGAAGACAACCAATAACATGCAGGTGTAAAGCCATTTAAAAGGACGGGTTGTGCATGATGCTGATTTCCTCCTTGTCCAAGCAACCTCAAACGGATTCCCCACATCCTTCTGTGTCTGTAGATGAGTCTAGATCGTTGGTCAATCAAGAACCCGGGTACACAGCAAGCCCTGCAGCCGAAAAGGACGACGCCAAACACCCAAGGACAACCCGCCCAAAGCAACCGTCCATGGGCAACAGCTCTGGAGCTGCTACTGGGCCTTCAAGCTTGGCAGAAGCAGCTTGAGACGTTGCAAGAACCCGGCCGACATGGCATAGCCGCCTGCACGAAGCGCAGGAAGCCGGAAGTTCGATGGAGATTGGAGATTTGCATTCACGGTTGGAAGCACTTTTGCAAAAGCAGGCAGTGCCGCCCCCTATTTTGTGATTGAGAATGCTTAGATCCTCCACAGGGAGGAAACCCTCTACAGAGGAGTTTTATTGAACATGCACCTGTATGGTTGTGGCATGGTTGTGGCTTCCATCGAAGCTAGGTATCTGCCTATAGCTGCATCACCTGCGATGTACGTAGGCGCCACCCAATTGGCAGCCCCAAGCGGAAAAGTGTCCTGAGGGATGCACCGATGGACCTGAGAAAATCGACCAAACACCCTGCTTTCTTCATGTGTCACAAGCCGATTCCGCTGGTCCTTTGGGGGAAGCTGCTTGTGAAACAACCAAAGAGGGTGAACTTGTGCTTCAGAGTCTCAGACTCAAAATTAATATTGAGTTTTTATGACACATCTCTGGGAAGGATCATGTTGCACTCCGCGTAACATCTTTTGGGTTGGATGTTGGGTTCACCTCCTAAGCCTCTAATCCACTGACGTAGGTACAAAAAACTCTGTACACAGTACAATTGTCCAACCACATTCAGTCAGTGCCATCCCGAAGGCAAAACCTCGACCTTGATGTTCTAGATTGCCCACTACTACTTCTTCTTCTTTTTCAGAGGGTCCAAGACCTACATGGCGCATCCTCACCACCCATCGATTTGAGATCTGGCTTTGTTTGGGTCCTTCAATCCACACGAAGGATCTGCTCCCAACTCGACCTCTCTCTCCACCGCCCGGCCGGTCGCGCCCTTCCCAGCCTTCCAGGCTGTGTGGCCTCACCGGACGGGCCGATCTGAGGTTTTGTGGAGGCAACGTTCACCGTGGGACATGTTCCAATGAATTCAGAGGCGATCAAGCCATCAAGCTACCTTCTAAGCCCAAAGAAGCAGGTCTACCCCTCCAGGCTCAAGAGTGGGCTGGAAACCAACTGGGCTGAAAGCTGAGATATTCCAGTGACCTACGACCTCCCCGCCTCTTGCCCACGATTCGCGGGCGACCCCCCCCGGTGCCCCGGTGGTCGCACGGCGAGGCCCCGGTGTCCGCTTCGCAGGTGACCCGTGAAGCACACCTCTCCGACATGTCTGCCCAGCTATACTCGGTCCAGCTATTACTCGGTCCATGCGAAACGTCGTGCATCACGTGGTGAGACCGCTCGATGTTTGGAGTGCTTCCCGCCGGCGGACACCCGAAGCCCACCCGCTCGGCGGAGTGCTTCCCCTCCACCCTTTCGACCGAGTGACAGTGGGGGGTGGCCCAAGGACAGCAGCGGCTGACCAGAGCGGCAAGCGGCCACCACCTCGATTTCTCCAAGCTAGGCGGGGAATTTCCTTCTTTATAGAAGACCTCCACACATTGATCTCTGGCTAGACGAGCAAAGACCCTTCAACCCGTCTCTGATAAGGTGTACTCCCGTTTCTTCGCTTTCTCTCGCGTTCATCTGTTTACATTGCGATACGATTTCCATGCATTTTTGCATTAAAACATCAGATTAAAGCCATCGTACTTGCTCAAAAGAACCGCTCGTGCCGCGCAAAGGAGAGTTTGTTCCCCACACGATAGGCTGTCATGATCTACAGAAGTCTAGATTCATCTAGATTCACTACACTCCTTTTAGGCCCCCGAAAGGATGACCATTTTCTGAGTACAAAACAGGTGGTTTTCACTCCACTAACCCATGGATAAACCCATAGACCCATGGATTCATTCAGGGAGTCTAGATGTTTTATTGACCCAAAAGCCTTGCTCCGTCCGTCCCCTCCTCCGTTCCTGCCACGTCCGGGTCGCCTGTTGAGCCCACAGAGCGCTTGGCCTCAAGATCCCGTGCTGTGCGATGCGATGGAAGCAGCCCCATAGGAGGGCTCAGGGATGCAGGGGTTGGTGCCGGAGAGAGACATTGCTGGTGAATGAGAGGTCTATAAACAGCGCATGAAGGTGATTTTCATGGCAAGGCTTGCCCTGCCACTTAGCTACTCGATCTGTGCCTTACACGACTGAGCCTGCTAGGCACCGAGACGACGGGGTGAGGCCATGGAGACGGATTTGGTTATAGAGGATCCTCCCTGATCTGGGCATCCAAATGGTGAAGAACGGACCCCCAAGCTGGATCCGTCCGGAATTAGACCATCAGACCCCGCCATCTTTGTGCCACCAAGGAGCCCTTGAATGATGGACTCTGCGAGAAGAACCACCACTGGCAAATTCTTCACCTTCCGCAACCACAGCTCTCTTTTTCCTCGTGTGTTTCCAAGGTGTGGAACGATGATCGATGAAGCCAAGTCAGCGCCAAACACATTCGCAATGCACATGATGGACACCTTGCCATAGACCGAAGCATCGCTGCTTCGAGAACTGCTCCGAAACACCCAATCATACCCAATCGCTTAATGATCTTGATGGGAGTTATCTTACGATATGTCACAACCCCGCAGGAGCAAAAGAAGACCTCGTCCTGTTCTTGACACCCGTGACCCCAGTGGCTGAGAGAAGGTCAAACAAACCCCCATTCATTCACCACAGTTCCTCCCACTTCCGGCCGCCCAACTCCTCAAAAACCACGCCACCTGTCACTCAAAAACAGCCCAACTGACGGGGTCTTCCTTCTCCACCGCCCCCGGCTTCACCTTCGCCCACCCTTCACAGCGCCCAAACGGCTCGCACGCGCCTCCGTGGCCTCGTGCCAGGCCCTGAGATGCGTCAAGCTCCTTGCAGCGTCCTGGGCCACCGACCGAGGAGTTGTTTTTTGGTGTGTTTTTTGGCCTCTCGCGCGAGGCTCGGCCCAGGGTCCAAGCCGGTGGGAACAACATGACCACAGCTGAACTCGCCAGTTGGTCCTAGAAAAAGCCATATATACATATCCACCGACCCCAGTCGATGGAGGGAGCGCGCCAGAGAATCACCTTGAAGCGGCTTGTCCAACGTGGTTGTCCGACAAAAATCAAATCACCACCGCCACTGCACCAACTAGTGCTTTCTATTTTCTCATATTTTCTCTATCGCAGCCCAGCTGCAGAAAAGGAGCACTCCTCCGCAACAGGCCGACCAAACCCAAAGCGTTTCGTGGGTCTGTCGCTCCACCTCCAGTCAAACCGAGCATCGTTGACATTGATAGCATGGCCCTCGAAACGGAGGGTCCTGCATGGGGGCAAACGGCGGGCTCGGGCGAACTGCGGCACAGCTTGATCGACGTGGCGGCACAACTCGGACTGACCGGAGATCCGCGAAAAAGGTTGACGGACCTTTTTCTCAACCGGTTCCCGAATTTCCACCAAACAAGAATGGTTTTTGCAGGTTACAATCCTCCTGGGTAGGACTTCCAGCTCATCAGAACTGGACAACGAAACTAACTCATTGCCTGGAGCAAACGAAGCTTAGTGACGCTGGGCATACGAAGAGGGTTCCTGTCCTGCCACACTCAGCCAACTCCTCGGAGGACCGTTTTCGGCCCAATGGCGTCACCGGGCGTCACCGGTGGCGATGAAACCATGTGGGTGCTATGGACATCTAGATGAAACAGCATGAAACTAGCTCCCTTGTCCTTTTCAATCACAAATGGCTGACCAATAGGTGATTTTGGAGCTGCTGCTGATTTCGATGAGGTTAGTAGTTAGTGTAGGTTCATCTTGCTATAGACTGTGTGATCAAAGATGCTCAAAAGTTCAGGCTGTTCCAACTTTGGGTCTCTGTGACCTGGAGAACATGCTTGGAAAGGAAAAACACACCCACGGCCCATGCATGTCCAGCTTGGTGCTGGGGACAGCACGCTTGCGAAACAAAGCAATTATAAGCCGGATCTCCCCAGTTCTTCTGACTGGAAGGGTGCTACTGTAATTAGCCACCAGGGCATCCACCAGGGCATCCACCAGGGCATCCAGACTGATGAACACCTATTGGTCCAGCCCTCTCTCACTCTGGGCTGTGAACTCCCCTACTTGGCCACTCCCCTACGGCATGGTCGGTTTTGTCAACATCTGACAGACTTCGTCTGAACGCTCGCATCGCCAGAAAATGGCGTCCAAGTATGCTGACGAGCCTCATAAACAGCACCTTCTTCGAGCAAACGTTTGCCCTGACAGTGGCACGATGCTCGTAGCACCTCAAGGACTCGACGGTTCTGGGGGTTCGCAACCAATCGTGTCCATCCATCCACTTGCTCCTCTAAGTAGTGGATCTCCCTTGTCCAGGGTTGCCTTGTGCAGCTTGCTGGAGCAAGTGCGGAACGTTGCTAAAGACGCTGCTTCGGTAGATTTTCGGGTCCACAGAGTTGGGGCGGAAAAAAGAAGCTACCAGATCACTTAATCCATCCGTCTCCCACTCCTCCAAAACAGCCTCCAAACACCTCCAAACACCCACGCTGAGCCAAGCCAGAGCGCCTTCACCTCGGCTCCAGCGGCCTTCAACGCCGCCAGGCTCAGCGGATGCCCCGCCCGCTGCGCATCGAGCGCGTCCGCGTGCGCCGCGGGGCGGACGAGGACGAAGACGTGGCAGGTTGGAGGCCTGGAGGGTGGCAGGTAGAGGCAGAGAGGGTTGGGTGGAAAGGTACCTGACTGACCAGCTGTGAGCAACGAAGTTGTGCATGCAATGAGGGTGGTTGGTGTGATGAACTTGTGCATGGAATGAGGGTGGGGTGGTTGGACCCAAAGGAAATTCTATTTGGAAGGAACACTTTACTCATGTCCCTAGTAGTCGCACACATCTTGTCCAATTTGTGGCCTGCCTGTTCCTCTCGCTCGGAGTTCTGCCCGAACCAATACAAAGTGCACTAACGTCTGCGTGCCCTATGAGGGGCCCAAGGATGCTTTGACGGATGCAATGCGTTCCTTGAAGACACGTCGGATCTCACAGTATTGGAACATGTATCAGGGCATTATCAGGGCCTATTGTTCCTTGTGGTTCCTTTCAACTCCCTTCAACGTAAATCATTTGACTACCTCAGCAATCTTCTTGGAACAGTTCCCGTGCCGCGCACGTAGCACGGCCGCTGCCGCGGCCTGACGGTTCCGTTGGCCAGGTGCCCCTGAGGCTTGGCACGTTCCGAAACGAAGGCCATGAAGGACCGGCTGAACCCCAAACAGTGTGCGATGAAGAGATGGGAAGTATCTCTAGACTTTCCAAGGAACACACGACGTGTGAACAATGGTGAAGTCTTGGAAACCCATGAATCAAGATAAACTATCAAGACCAACAGAAACCATTCACAACACTCCTTTCTGGGGCCCCAGAAGAAACCCTCGTTGTAGGCCGAAGATCTGAGCCCCAGAACATCGATTCAACGAACTGCTCTGACAGGAGTAAGTAGTCAATGGACAAAACTCTTTGCACATACGAACACCTATTGGGGACGGTTATGGTCGGCCCGCTTCCCTTTTACGGGCTGAAGGGCACCGACACAAAACGATAGTCTTGTCACGTTTTGTCCAATCCTTACATGTCCATACACTGACGGATATGATGCCCTGTCTAGTCATTGCAACTACCTGGAGAAGATAAATCATGGATCGTTGACAACGCCGCTGCAAACCGGTCCGAAAAGACATCACCTGATCAGCACTTTGCGCACCACCCCCACCATTTCGACCATCCCGTCCAGAGCGGCTCGCCTTGACGGGTGCAGCGTAGGTGTAGTGCGCCGCTGCATGGCCATTCATATCTATTCATTGCAAGTATCGAGTGCGAGGCATTATATGGCGAAGTAGGGTCTGGGGCCTGGCGCCCCCCCCCAACTAATGGATGGGTAGACGGCCATATTGGAGGTCCTAGTTTAACTGAGTGATTGTAAAAGTGATTCTTGGTTGATTGGTTGGGTGCTTCCTGAAGCTTGTTGTTGCTCAAGGCAGAAATACCAAGGCTGTCTGAAGCAGGTTGTCCAAGAGAGCTGAAGGCACTGGAAGTCGCTATACTTGTTGCCTCACTCATCACGAAAAGTGTGCTGTTGGGTCTCAATGAGCTAAGGGTGCATTTGGATCCTTGGGCTGTTGCCGGTCTGGAAGGTTTTGGCAGTGCTGTGTTCAAACCATGGGTGGAAGCCCAGAGCATCAAGCTGCCGCGGCAAGGTCTCTGTGCAAACAGGTCAGGTCCAAAGAGAGGCGGTCTCAGTGTCCAAATCCCCCTTCCAACGGCAGCTAAGTCACGGTAAGTCTTCATGTTACTTTTTCGATGGGAGGAACTTGATCACTCCCATGTGGGGGCCTTCCCCCAGTGAACACGCACGAAGAACATTGCGCCCTCCTTGCATCGCCATCTATTGATGTAATACACCTATATACCGGGCAAAACACATAGCACGAAGCCACTAGACTAGTCACCAACCAAAGCACCAGGGTAGCCCGACACCCCCAACAGGACCAATTCATTGAAGGAATCTAATGGATTCAGCTCCCCCCCACCAGTGTTGGAAGCACGTGTGAGATTTTTGTTCCAAAGTCTTTACTACGCCTTCTGAGGCGGCAGTTCCAGGACCACCCAGATCTCCTCGCTTTTTTGCGCAGCTCCCCATGCTCCGCGGCCGCAGGGAACCGCACGGGACCTTTGTGCCTCGGAGGAGCAAGACACAGCCTGTGACATGGATCCCAAAGAAAGACCAGCTGACCAGCTGACAATAGGAGCTGATTTCACCAGACGCACGAGATATTGTTCTTGGCTTCTCTGAGTCTGAGATCCCTTCGAATTGCTCTCCGATCTGTCGGACTGAGTGGGATGTCGGATCGGTTCCCTGTTGAGACCGTTTGAGACCTTTAACACCTGCGTTGCTCTGCATTATCGTTTGTCACACGCTTTGCTTGTTTTGGTACTGTATAAACAACATCAACAATACATGTGTAAGGT